CATCCCTTCTTATTCCTGAAATCTGTTATTTCACTTCTATAAAGGAAAATTTATGTAATCAGATTTCACCCTGAATACCATAAATAGAGAAGTGACACAGATGCATGTTGCCATTAATGAGAAGGGATTGCTTTCAGAAGTTATCTTGAGACTAGAGCATAAATAAGGGCTTCAGTTATGAGTAGGATGATTCTGGGAATTTCTGCTTTTGTCCTGATGGGGTTGTCCTGCACCTGTCACAGGGCACAGCACAGACAGAGGCTCCTCCTGAGAGCTCACCTGAACCCACACTTGGGCCAGGCTGCATTCCATGGAGCTAATCCTTGTCTAGCAGGAGGAGTGCTCCAGCTTTCCAGCTTGGAGTGTGTGTGGGGAAGGACATCCCAGAGCTGAACGGGCAGTTGCCATCAGCACCATTCCTAAATGGAGCGGTGGGACATGGGGGCACAGCTCTGATTCCCAGGCTGCCCTGGGCTCCCTGCCTGCACTGCAGCCTGCCTGCTCTCTCCCAGCCCAGATTTTGGCATGTGAGTCAGCAATGTGGACAGTGCCTGTCTCCCATGAGAGTCTCTGAGCACTGAATCCACTGGGGGCTTACAGCAGGGACAGGCGAACACTGTCACAAACATTCCTTCTGAACACTGGGATGCAATCGTCCACAGGCCAAGGTCATGCAGACTTCTACATCTGCAATGTGGTTCCTAGAAGTGCCAGGCAGCTCTTCCAAGCTTAACATCTGCCCTTTACATTTTGTTGTCATAACAACAGCACAAACCATCTCCTTGTGACTAATCTGCTTTGCTTTTCTCCGTTTAGATTTTTAGAAGGAGAAAGAACTATAGGTGTGGTTTCCCTGCTCTTTCCCCCACTGCCTCTGAACATTTTCTCCCTCTTCCCTTTCCAAGACTGCTGCTGGGGGATGCAGGAGCTCTCTAGGAAGATGGACAGAGAATTTAACCTTAGAAAGAGACTGTGCTGTTCTGTCTCCCACTGAAGAGCACAGCAACAAAAGGCTGCTCTGCTATAAAAATGAATGCAATTTACTGACTGGAGAAGTAATAATAATGTAGGAAGCAAATATGAAGGATTTTAACCTAAAATGCTGACCCTGATTTTAATACAGTATGTGCACTTATACCAGATTAATGTCAAGAAGAAGAGATGTTTCAATGAAAGTAAGAAATAGAGAAGCGAATTACAGAGAGCTAGCAGTGACCACAGCTGCTTAGCTAAGTTTCTTAACACTATTTTCAAGTACTTATAGCTTTTTCAAATTACATATTTCCTGAAACACTATTCAGTGTTTCTTTTTGCCTGCAGATAATTTTGGAAATGTAAGCAGTCTAAACAGCAATGCCAGACTCCACAGTTATTTCTCTAATATTGAGAGAATAGGGATGGTCCCTGTGATATAAACGCAGGGGTGTCAGGCAGACTCATCTTCCTGCTTGGACTTCTGCTCTTTGCCCTTCAGAACCCCCAAGGTTGCCCAAAACTTTGTATTGCAACTGAGGCAGGCAGATTCTCCCTTCTTTCACTATTTCCATTCTTATTTTCACAGAACAACTAACATATTTATGAAAGATGTTTCAGTAAACAGAATAGAAGATTTTCTCAATTTGATAACAAAAATCTCAAGGAAATCTTTTAGGTGAGGCGTGCTTGGCTGTGGTGCTGGAGACTCCTAGCAATAACACTCTCCAGACTCAGGAACAGCATGGGGAATCTTGATCCTAAGGAGTCCTTGTCTGTCTAGAAAACAGCTGCAGAGGCCACTTATGAGGTGTGCATTGCTTCCTTTCACTAACCATCCAGTTGTATTTCTGATTAAATGTTAGTCTCTCCTTTTGTGTTTTGTCAAGAACTGCAGGTAGCTCTTGAATAGCTTTTGTGTGTTCTCTAATTGAATTTTTCTTTATTATTGCTATTGTTATAGCCTTTCCCACAGCTCAACACACGATGCTGTGTACATAGTGATAAGTGCTGGTTTCCAGCATTATCTATTTTGTCAAGTGTTACTCAATAGGGTAACACAATTTGGCTCAAAGCAATGAACAAACATTGCACTCAGATCTTGTATTGTGGTTGGACAGCTTTGTGTGTGTGCACCATGCACAAGGGTCTGTGCATCTGTGTGTGGTTCAGAGGGGAAGGAAGAGGAGGGAGCTGTGAAATTTCAAAGAAGTGCTTGCACTAGAGAGCGAAGCAGATATAAAGGTGGGCTCATGGTAACTAACCTTCAGAGAAAGTCAAACCAACTCTGTTCACAGAGTCACCAGATAGGAAAAGATGTTTACAAAAGCAGCTTCCTCCCCTATTTAGGAACCCAGTCTTTCCTTCATCAGCCACTGAAAAACCTCATTAGTTTCACAGTGTAGCATTCCAGCCTCCTGTTCCCTAGGTGGTGTGTTGGGACAAAAAGGACTGTGGCATCCTGCTCTGTACATCAGTCACAGTTTTCTGGTGCTGTCTCACAAAGCTGTCACAAACTAGCTCAAACTGCAAGAGTTAGGTATCTGCAAGGGCTTCCAGCTGTGGCTGGGAAGCCAAATGCCCGTTTCCAATCTTCTCACATATTCAGCAATAAAATGCAACCAGCCATGCATTGACAAAAGATTAGACCCATAATTAGATAATTTGTATATTCAGAGTTAAGGACATTACAGAACCTGCTGTCCACACTATGTGTCATATTCAGTCCATTAATAACACTTGACAGTTGATAACAAGGATGGGCTGTCAGCTGATTTCAGCTGCTGTAGCATTTCTTTACTGATGTACTTACCTAATCAGTGAAGAAATAACTTTAACAGCTGCAGCAGGAGCTGTGCAGCTCTACAGAACATGCAGCCCATACCTTGCCTGAAAATGCATTTATCCTCCATGTCCTATACCTTATCACTAGTAACATAGTGATTTACACAAAAGTCAAAAATTCTGCTGTCACAGATTTCTTAAGACTGTATAAATTATTTTTCTTATCCAATAATAGGTTGTTATCAGGCTTTGCAAGAGCCTGGTCCTACTTCAGGCTATTCAAATTATTTTGGAGATCAGAATATAGGCTGTGGGTGATAGTGTTCAAGATCAGGAAAAGCTCCAATAGTGAAAGTGCCATCCATGTTTACATGTGTATTTTGGAAGTGAATGGATAGCTTTTTTTGTCTAAATTCAGGTTATGTGTTGTCTTAACACAATGAGGAAAGGTTAACATTATTAGTGATGGGGAGAGCTGCTGTTTTGGTTTTTTTTTCCTCACCTAGAAACATTCTACTGCAATATTCAAGATTCTGATCCTGTTTTATAGGCAGTATAAATAATTGCAATATCACACATGTGGTCTCAAGGAGTTCATAACACTGTTCAGCTGTAATGGGGAGGCCGGAGCATTTTGGCTTGTTCTGGAATTGCGACTCGGACCCTAGCACCTGAGAAACCATTTAATCGCAAATCACCTGAAACTCCCCTTCTCTGGCCTTTCTGGAATGACCCTCCTTTGGTTTGTGCTCCTGCTGAAGCACATAATTATACAATTTCCAAACATGACAGGACTTGAAAGAAAGAGGTTTTATTCAGGCCATTTTCATACTGATTATTATATGAACTCAAATGAGTTCACCCAAGGCCTGATTGCTTGGCTTGGTGTGCCCAATTTGGCAGAGCACACAGAGCTGATGCTTCAAGATTTGGTAAAAAAATTAGAATAAAACAAATGGGGCAGAGAGTAGAAGGAACAACAATGAGAGTCTTTAATTGTATATAGCTTGTATGTAAATATGTTCTGGTTCTGCCTGTGCACATTGTGATGGTACAACCATAAATGCATTGTCTTTTAAGGCAGGAATACAGTAGTGTAACTGCTTGGCCTCAAATGCTCTTTCCATGGATCTGGCCCTGTGGAAGAATCCTTTATAAGGTGATACAGCTTTGTGGTAAAATGTGCCAAGATCATTACAAAAACAACAGGATTTCTGCAGTTGAGTAAATCTAAATCTGGTGTTTGAAGACTACTGAAATTATGAAAAGTGCTGCTCCAAAAAACAGAAAAGAAACAAAAAGTGACTTTATTTTTAAATTACAGGGGGCTGCTTGCATAGCATAGGATGAAAAAGTGGCAGCAATGGAAATAGTGTCATATTTTTAAGAGGCGCCACTAGGGATAATGAGTAGAAAGACACAGCCATGGAGAGAACAAAGTAATTGATGAAATCATGCTAAGATTTTCCAGGCCAGTGTGTGTGTATGTACATATGTCTCAAATAAAGAAAATGTTTGGCAAGCAATGTAATTATCATTTAAGTACTTATGGAAAACACCATCAAAGAAGAGAAAAACCCCCACATTTTCATTGAACTCCATGGCATATCTGCTTTGTGCAGAAGACAGATAGGTGTCAGGAAGTAGGTGACTAATGAAGTGGAACTCTGAGAATCCTTGCCTTAGATACACAATTATTACAGAAACATTCAGCCAATCAAAATAAATACCATTTTGCAGAAGCCTAACGGTAAATCCTGTACGTAATTCATAACAAATAATCCCAGAAAAGCATAAAACAGCAAGCATGCTAATGATTTACAGAGGTTCCTTTTTCATGGTGCTGCCTTAAGCCCCAAGCATGTATTTTATTCCTTAGTTAAATATCTGTAGGTGTCTGAGAGGTGGTAATTACATTTGTAATAAACATGAGCATCTATAAGCACTGTATTTGTAAGAGCTCAGTGAAACATAGATACGCAGAGAGCTAAGAAGTCACAGCAATTGTATCCAAGCTGCATGCATTGAAACAGCAATTACTGTTCCACAGAAAGACAGTGGAGTTGTTATTTGGAATTATCTTGCGGAAGGCTCAGTTTTCCCAGAGCTGCTCGGAGTCTGCGGCAATCGGGGCAGCTCTGAGCTGGACACTGGAACAAACTGCACTCCACAGAGCCCGAGCACTGCCTCCAGAGAGCAGGGAGAGTGTGCAGGGCAGTTTGGCCTTGGAAGCAATGACCCACCTGCAGCAGCTTCCTGACTCTCTTCAGGTTGTGGATCAAGAGCAGATTCTTCTCCTGCGAAACCCGGTCCAGCTGTTCGTCCACCTGTATTATCAAATTCTGCAAAAGGATCATTGCCATTGCTTCATTGTTGGCTGCAGCCTCCCTAAAGAGTCAATGAACAACAATGCACGTTTAAAATGCTGTATGATGTGTCAATCTAGCAGTACAGAAAATTATAATCTATTCAGAAATCTAGGCAGCAAAAAAAAAGACTTTGAGTATATGGTAATTTGCCTATAGTTAGAGCTTGTGAATAATGATTTTTATGATTTTGTGGGTTTTTTTTAATAATATTCCCACAAATATGCATAAAAGGAGGGTGAGGTGTTAGCACAGACAGTAGAGTCAGCCAGAGGAGACAACCAGGTTTTTCTAGCCTCTGGTCCAGTGAATATTTAAATAATTCCAGCTCACTTGTCAGAGGAAATGGGGCTTATGCAAACTGTCCTTCTCACTCAGTCACACAGATATAATTTCTGAATTTGCTGCCCAGTTTCAGACAAAGTTGGCAACAGGCTTGAAGTCCAAAAGATAGAATTCTTACAAATTTCATGGCAATCTGGCAGGTTGGTAGAAGAAAGGAGTCCAAATTAGTGCCTCCACTGAGGGAAACAGCAGCAATAACTTGCTCCAGGAGGCAACAGCCAGATGGTCAGGCAGAAGAGACATCTCTTCACACCAGGCACCAGCTGAGCCTTCCTCCAGCCAAACTATTTGGGGATACAGGAAGACTCTGAGGCTACTGGTCAAGGGTATGTAGGGGACACAGGACACAGACAAAGCCAGGCTTTGCTGGCTGTGATGTTTGTGGTACAGCTTGGTATGTGCAGGGCAATGGCATTAGTGAGAAAACTGAGGAGGAAAAAGTTTGGACAGCGTGGCATCCTTGTCCTTGGGATAGCCTCTCTCCTTTCCTCACAAACAGCAGGTACCTGTTTGAGATATGCCCACTAACTCCACGTCTGGCAAAAAGGAGATTTTAATGTTACCCATGTTGCCACAGCCCCATAAAGATGGAGCTATAAACCATAAAGAAAGATTTTATTCCTTAGCAGTTTCCCCCCCACCCCAATAGTCCTGTGGAGTTAGTTTGAAAAATTGAGATGTCTCTTTCTGGTATGACTAATAATTTTTTTTCTTTGCACTTAGTTTTGAATCTTCTTAAGATAACTCTCAAGTGACTTGAATCCAAATTTGGACATAAATGGACCGCCTAGAAAACAGTTCCTGTAAACAGCTGGCTTGTTCCCCAGAATTTTCCAACTTTAAATGCAATTCTGGACAAGTGAATAATTTTATGCTGCAAGAGGTAAGTGTATAACATTTCCATTAAAAATTAACTTGCATTTTTTTTAAATCAATTTTTATTGGATTTTGTTTAGTACTAAGTTCCAATGTGAATCTTCACCTCCCAATATTCCCTAAGTTGAAATGGCTAAATCCATTAACTAGTGAAATAGTATTACTGGAGTGTAGATACCTGCACAGTTTGTAAATGAGCACCCTAAAGCCTTCCAGCAATCAAAAGTATTGTTGGTGATTGAAATAAGAGGAGACAGAATGGATGAAATCCTACCAGTCCTGGCTTTCTATCCATTGTGCTAACAGGTGCCGGATTTCCATGGGGAAGTTATCGTCATAGAACTGGTCCACCTGCTCCAAAAACTTTATTTCCAGTTGTTGAACTTGACTCCATTGGGACATGCTACAAAAGAAAGGAATTAATGTTTGCAACTGAAAAATGAATATGAATTATTAATCCAAACTGCATAAATCAGTTGTTTTTATTGTAGCTCTCATATACTTTGACATTTTATTCTGTCTTTCAAAACAGGGGGTTCTTGAGTAATTTTAGTCAGTTAAAGGGAAGAGGGAGAAAAGTGAGCAAGGCCATTAAAGAAGTTTTGTTTCTTACACTTGAATGGGCACGTCTGTCAAGTCCCTTCATTTATGTAATTTTTTTTAGATACTTTATGATGCTTATAAAGCGGGAAAATTTGCACACCATCTCTCATCAAGAGAAGAAGTTTTGGATTGCACTCTTCAAACCCACGTAGAACTATTCTTATTGAAGGGTAGTGGAAAGCAATGATTTTGCTCTCTTCTTAGTGAATTCATACCACTCAAATACTCAAATTTTTCCTATAGTCATCATGGTTGTGTGTCACTGTGCTGTTCCTAAAGCCCCACATTTTCTGTTAGGAGAGTACTGCTTTACAACCTAAATCTAGTACATCTCTACCTTAAATTGCCATAGAATTATATTTCATGTGCCCTAGGGTCTGAGATCAGTGGGCTCTGCCAACACCCTGATCCCACAGCAGAGGTGTTCTTCCATTTTGTCTTAACAAAAGACACAAAATACATTCAGGGCTAAAGACTGAAGTGAGCCAACAAACTACGGATCTGTTGGAACACTTTTGATAGAAACTTTTCCTGAAGAAAAAGACAAGATTTCATCAAAATGGACATTTTTGTAGAAAGCTGACCTTTTCATATGCAGCTTTTCTATTTCCAGTTCTGAATTGTAGTTTCAGAATGTCAACAGTTTCAAATAAGGATATCATATCTTAATGCTGTAGTCTTTCATTTTGCATTTTTAAAGCCAGAAAAAAAAAGTAGTATCTGAAGGTTTAATGGAGTCCTGAGCACTTACTCATGCAAAAGTAAAAGTGACAGGTTTTAGTTTCTCAAGGAAGGCTGATAGGATGATTCTGTGTGTGCTATGAAGAACACTGTATATAACGTCAGTGGAAATGTGCCCAGTGACTTTTCCCTCCTCTTTATTACTTCCATTCTGACAGGAAAAAAATATTGCCTGAATATTTACTTTGTTTTTTAAAATTGCTGAAGAGGAGTTAGGCAGAGGAGTGTTTCGCTGTGTTGCTGTATTGACAGCTAGAAAGAATCTCAAATGTTATTTCTGATGATACATACAAGGAATCAAATCAGAATGCATTAATAATTTATAGAATAAAATCTGAGAATTGTAAAGGTTTGGAAGGGACCTCCAGGATCACTGAATCTGACTTTAACTTTTTTTTTCCCTGAACTCACACTCGGGAAAAAAACTCAAACAAACAGATTTTCAAGTCTGTTCACTTTCAGTGGGAGTTTTTATTGTAAATGCTAGTGAATTCTGGTGATTATGATATCCTGAGAAGATTAGTAAGAGAATTTAATATTTTTATCTAAAGTTTAGAAAAATAAAAGAAAAAAAGGCAAGATTTTGTCCAGCCTGCAGCCCCCTTAGGGCTGCCATGTAAGTTGCAGTGATGCTCCCATGCATTTGCAAAGCACACGAGTAGCATTTGTCCCTGGGATTTTTGTGATGTGCTCCCTTTGCACAGAAGGTTTTGCAGGGACAGCTGAGAAGGTGGGGCAGTTGTAGCTCATCGTGAATGCCCCCTGAAGGGAACCGAAAGAAAGTTTTCAGGAAAGATGGGGCAACACTGTCTACAAGAGAGGACAGGAGGTATAGTCTCAAAATGAAAGAGAGTAGGTTGCGATTAGGCATTTTAAAAAGTTCTTTACTGTGAGGGTGGGAACAGGGTGGCCAGAGATGTGGACTCCCCATCCCAGGAGGTGCTCGAGGCCAGGTTGGATGGGGCTCTGAGCATCCCGGTCCCTAGTGCAGGCTGTCCCGTCCTGAGCACCCTGTCACTGCAAGGCTGGATGGGGCTCTGAGCATCCCGGTCCCTAGTGCAGGCTGTCCCGTCCTGAGCACCCTGTCACTGCAAGGCTGGATGGGGCTCTGAGCATCCCGGTCCCTAGTGCAGGCTGTCCCGTCCTAACCACCTGTCACTGTAAGGCGGCCGGCAGGGAGCGGGTGCTGCGGGAATGGAGCCGTGTCCAGCCGCAGACCAGCTCCGCTTTCGGCTACCCGGCTGCCGGCTTTGCCTTGAGCCCGCTCCATCCGCCCCGCCCGTGCCGGGGGTCCGTGCGGGCCCCGTCCCGTTCCGTTCCATCCCATCTGTTCCCGTCCCATCCCTCTCGGAGCGCTGCCCCCGCGCCCCGCCGCTCTTGCCTGTGCCGGCTCGGGCCGCTCTCCGCCGCCGTTGCCGCCGCCGTGCCCCGGTGCCTCCCCGCGGGCTTTAAGCGGCCGCGCCCGCCCCCGGCCCGCGGCAGCAGCGGCGCCTTCCTGTGCGTCAGCCCCGCTGGGCCCGGCTAGGCCTGCCCGCCGCCTCTCGCAGCAGCCCCGCTCCCCACAGGGAGCTGGGCAAAGCTCAGAGCCTGCAGGGAGCTGCTGGCCTTCAGGAAGCTGGAAAATACCGAAATCTTTCCCATTCGCGCTGTCGGGGCAGAGGGCTGGGTCCCGCCGCGCCGGGGGACCGATGGCATCCCAAAAGCCGCGGGATGCAATCACCGGTGTCCCCACGGCCCGAGTTCTGCTCAGTGAAAAGGCAAAGGACAGCTCTTGGGCGAGTTGGGCCGTGGAACAAACTCCCCAAACTCTTGTGACTTAGAATCACAGAGGTTGGACCACACCTCCAAGAGCATCGAGTCTAACATTTGGCTAAACATCACCATATCAACGAAAGACCCACAGTCAATTGTTTTATTCAACACCTCTAGGTGTGGTAGCTCCACCACTGCCCTGGGCAGACCATTCCAATGCTTGGCCACCCTTTCCATGAAAAAATTCTTCCTGATGTTCAACCTGAGCATCCCCTGGTGCCGCTTAAGACTCGGTCTCTGCTCAGACCTGCCCTCTGTCGTTCAGGGTTCAGCAAGCATAGAAGGCTGGTTAGATTGTGTGGACCACGTCAGGACAGCGAATTAGTAATTTGAGGACCACCCAGGAAATATCATTGATTAGCAATGTGATTTTGTGCTGTCAGTAGGGGGAACTATTGCACTGTATTTCTTTTAAATAAATATTGGTAGCTATTTATTTTTCTTTTTACATTTAGCACTCATTTTCTGAGCATCCTTAAGCAACTGCTGTCTGTAATGATGAGAACACAGGTAGTTCATACCATTTGCAACAAAACAAGATAGTAAGATAGTGACAGGTTTTCAATCCCCTTTTTGCTTGCTGTTTCTCTGCTTAACTGAGAAAATAATCTGTATGGTGAAGTGGTTGATATTAAGACAATGTTTCCTATTATCTGATGGAAGTGTCTGTTCAGGCTTCCTTCAGGAAGCCATATCCCAGAAGTTCAGCTCGGTGACCTCAAAATCCAGGGTAATCAGAGGTCATTCTTCATGAGAGGTTTGGAGATCAGTTTCTGGGAAGATAGTTCCTGTTCCCTTCTTCCCTCCTTTCTCCCCCCACTTCTTGGCAGGTAGGGCATGAATGCAGGGCAGTGGCTGGGATGGAGACCAGCTGTGGAGCCAGCTGTTGGGGGTGCTGGATGGGAGCCACGGCTGTGGAGGCAAGAGAACAGGGACATGATCCTCACAGCAAGGGGAGCAGGAGGATGGATGGAGTCACTTGTGATGTTACAGTGAGTCGGGGCTTTTCAGAAGTTCGTTGGAGAAAGAAGAGGGGAAGGACACTTTGTTTGGGGGAGGATTGTGGTCCAAGGGCATTAGAATTGGATTGTCAAAGGCATTGAGGTGTGGCTGGGTGTGAAAAGGCCTGAGGTGTGCAGGGACAGCCTGGTGGGGCTGTTTGGGGACCATGGCTGGGAGAGGAGGATGGGGAGCAGCAGGGTCAGGGTGGGGAGGGCTGAGGGTTCCCTTCTGAGCCTCAAGCATAGCTCAGCTCTGTGCTCTTGGACAATGGTCAGAGGGTGTGTTAGCACACTGTAAAGGATGTGGTGGTGTTTGGAGGTGTGAGGGAAACTGCTGAGGAGCAGGACTGAGGTAGGAAAGGATGGTCTAGGTGAGTTCAGGTAAGCTCTGGAGGAGATCTGTGTGGATAGGATCCTGAAGGAGCTGGCTCCAGGCGTGTGGTGGATACTGCAGGTCTAGCACAGGAGGAGGCTGTGAAGGAGGCAGTGCCTGGGCTGAAAGGAGAGGTTTAGGGGCAAGGAGTTGTGGCTCACACTCAGTGAGGAGTTCAGTGAGTACAGATAGGGCAGGCCAGGAAAGGTTAAAACCCTTATTGGGTTTGATGGGTCAAAGTTAATCTTCACTGTGTAACATTTCATTCCACTTCATCGGTGCTTCAGCACTGGTCAGAGCAGAGCACAAGAAGCAAGTGTCTACATTGTTTAGGCTGTTTAAGGGAGGAAAAAGTCTCCAGAGATGAAGAAGGAATTCAGGACATAGTAATCTTCTCATCAAGAGTTCACAAAGGTTTTTCTAGGAACACTGAGCCAATTTATTACTTTGATCTCTCTGACCAACCTGTAATCAAGATTACCATCTCTCATGTTTGGCCTCTAGTCATTATACTCCTTGACTAACCTTTAATTAGAGTATGTGTCATCTGTCTTTTACATAAAGGAGACACTCAGCTTGTACATGCTCTACATGTGTTATGTCTTGTATCTGAACTGTCCATAGCGTTTTTTTCTGTGCATTCAGAACATGGACTTCTGGTCTTGGTGAGGCAAGTAAACACTGCAATTGTGAGAAGTTGTCCTGCTGGCAGTGTAGTTCCTTATAGTCAGCACAGCATAAATCAGTAGTTTTGTCTGCAGGTCACGTCCCTTACTGTTCTCTGTTTGGAGAAAAAAGACAGAAACTGTTGTAGGCACACAGTTTGTGGTGATTGGGAGTGGGGCTGGGCCCAGCCTCATCCCCAATGGGCTGCAGCTGTGCAGGACAGGTGAATGCTATTGAAGGGAACAAGCCATGGAGGGCCAGGGGCACTGAGCAACCACCACAGGGAACAGAGGGCACACAGGTGCACTGCATCAACAGGAGGGGATAAAAGGTTGGGCTAAAGACAAGAAAGAGCTGTGCACACTTGAAGCTCTCTGCAGTAGTATGGTGTTACTCTGGATGGGAAGAATGCCTGAAGCCTTCTTTGGTGTTGGCTGTGCCTCCACTGTCATTCCAATAAGGAACAGCAGCATTGACCTAAAGTTAAGTGTTATAATAATCTGTTGATGAATACTGAAAAGAATTCTTATTTCTGTGTATGTATGTAGCTGAAATAACAATTGTTATGCCTAGAAAAAGAGGGGTTTGGCTGTTTGGTGGTTCTTAACTGCTGAAATAGTTACTGCTTTCCTTCTTCCAGTGGTGAGTGAACTATATGTGTAGATGTTTAATCTATCTAAAGATACATATCTTGCCCAAATTCAATGTGACATCAACTAGAAAAAAGTTGACTTGCTACATGGAGAATAATGAGAAATAAGGAGTTATACAAGCTGAAGTTTTTTCCTGCTGACTTGGGTTCAGGTTTCTGCTTTCAGGTCAATTTGGCCTTTTGATACTGCAGTCCCTGTCCTTTCTTTTTTTGGTAGGTGCAGGTACAGTGGCCACTCGGCAGTGCACGAGCAGGTCAGAATGAGTGACCTGAAGGTATATGTCTCCTGTCCTTTTTGCTGCCCAGGCCCTAATGGAGGGTCCATGCCCATCCCTACCACTGGGGAGAGGATCTTAACACCAGTTCAAAGCAGGCAAGAGGGTCTGTTGAGCTGGGACAGTAGGAATTTTCATCTTGTATTGTCTGTTATCTTTGAACAACACTATGTTGTTTTGATGCATGCCTTTTTTATCACCTTACCTCTTGAGGTCATATTTTCAGTTTTGCACTTGGTGCTGCAATGTGTATCCTGGGAAGACTTGAAGGTGTTTATTCTCAAAAGAAAATATTTGTTTAGTTCTGGTGAGATTTTTTTTCTTAAAGACAAAAAAAACCCTGTGCTTCTTTCCAAAATATTGTGGAAATTAAGGTCAGTGCCACTTGGGGTCCCACAGTCACCATACAAACTTCTACACCGACAAAATTAAGGTAGGAAGAAATTAAACAAAAGGCCTCAATTCCACCAGAGTGGCAATCTGTCATTGTTTATGGAAAGGGCAGGTGCAGAGAAATGAAGGAAGCAAGGAAAGAAGTGAGGGTAAAGACAGAAATTTAGAAGAGGCAGAAGGAGAGAAATTCTGGGGATCTTGTATTAATTATCTTGTAGCATAAATGGAATATTGCATGTGCAGAACACCACTGAACATAAATTTTGCCTTGTATGTCTGCTGCAGTCATCATTTTTTCAGCAGTTTTCTCTCTTGAAATGTGTGATTTAACCTGTCCACTTCCTGAATGATATAATGCAAATTTGAGTTTTACTGTTCCTGAATTACTCTAGAGTCAGGTTTCCTTTTTTGGTTGTGATTATGTAAATTGTTAGGAATGCTGGTAGCTGGTACCTTAACAGGCTTTTTTCACTCAGTATCATCTGTGGGAGCTCAGGAAGCTTTTCTCTTACACAACAGCTTCCTTGACAATTGGCAATGATTACTTTTGGTTTGTGCAGATCTTGAAGACTCTAAGATTAGTGGTTTCCAAATTAGAATGTGAGAAAGGAATGCAAAATCAGTGTTAGTTGGTGAATGCTGTGAGGTTTTATATATGTACCTGTGAGGTAGAGTTTGGAGGGTAAAATGAAGACCCTTGCTGCTAACTTGGTTAGCAAATAGGTTGGCTGGACAAGAGAAAAGAGAATAGTTAGCTCCCTTGCGATTTGTGCTGTCAATAGTTGATTGAGTTCTTACTGCCTTCCTTGCCTGGGGTCAAGATGACCATGCATAATGGGAATTTCTGAGCCTACTTAGGAATATTTTAGTTTCGTGATCTTTTAGAGGAGTCCTTGAGTTTTATTAAGCCTGCTGGTGTATGCAAATTGCAAAAACCAGTTTGATGCCAAGCTATGATTTCCAAATGCAAAGATCAATAATTTTAGAATTAGTAGTGTATTGTGAACTGAGAAGACAACTTGGTTAATTAATTTAATACAGTATTTTCATGAAGGGAGTAATTAAACTGAAGCCTGATCATCTCTGCTTGATAATACTTAAAATGTTATATATCAAAGTTACAGGTTTTACCTCTGATGGTACCAAGAGGATTTCTTGATTTGTTATTCTCTGAATACTGATATTCTTTGTATAACAAAGCACCCATCTTCAGAAATAATGTCAGCTTTTTGCTTGGCTAGGCAATAAGACAGCAACAAATCTGAAGCAGTTGTACAGTTGAT